TTGAAGGAAGAAGTCCAAGCTGCACTGAATGAATTGGGGAAAAACAAGGTTCCAGGAATTGACAGAATCCCCACTGAGATATGTCAACAAATACATGCAGCACTGAAGGTGCTTACTTGTTTAGACCAAGAAATCTGGACGACAGCTGCCTGGCCAACTCACTGGAAGAGATCCATATTTGTGCCCATTCCAAAGAAAGATGATCTAACTGAATGTAGAAATGATCAAACAATATAATTAATATCACACTGTAGTAAAATTTTGCTGAAAGTAATTAAAAAACAGTGATAGCAGTTCACAGAGAGGGAACTGCCAGAAATTCAAGCTGGGCTTTGAAGAAGACGTGGATCTCATGACTGATGTCAGATGGATCTTGGCTGAAAGCAGAGAATACCAGAAAGTTGTTTACCTGTGTTTTATTGACTGTGGTCAATAACAAATTATGGATAACATTGTTGTATGGTCAGTAACTGCAACCCCCCAAAATAGATCTCAGATTCCATCTTGTTTGGCCATGCTTCTAAGAAATACAAGCTGTTTTCCCTCTCCCTCCCTGTCATGTACACCTCTGCTCTCCCCTGTCAGGTATTAACTACCTTCCCTGTAAGGTATTAACTCGTCTTTAGCATAGTTTTACGGGAGTTCTGGTAGCATAGTGCCTAAGGCACTTGACTGTTAATCAGAAGGCTGGTGGTTCAAATCCACCAACCACTGCTTGGAAGGAAGGTTGGGCAATTGACTTCAGTAGTGATACTGCCTCAGAAATCCAAGGAGGGGTTGCTATGAGTTGGGTCTGACTCAATGGCACATAACACAACAATAGCAGCATAGTTTTAGGCAATAAGGCTTGTTAGCTGGCAGCGTCTTATCAGAGCACACACAGGTGATGATCTGGGGCCTCCTCCTGATCCACCCTGGTGCCAGCGAGTCTAAAGCCAGTCACATAGCCCCCATTCTCAGTTCTTCAAACTGAGGTATAAATAACCCCATAAGAATGGGAGGGTTTAATGGTCATCTTGGATCCATCCCAGCCTGCTGCCTCTGGACATTGAATTTGCTAGCAACATTTGTAAGCCTTCTTTCTTTTCTCTTTTAAATCCTTTCTCTCCTGATCCTCTTTGTTCCTATTCTGAATAAACATTCATGCCTATGTCCCTAGGGAAGATTTTTCCACCTCTCCCTACCCTCTCAGGAAGAAGTTTTAACCTCCCTGGGAAATTCCCATGACAGTTGTGAAGAATGGGAATTCCAGAACACTTAACTGTGCTCATGAGGAACCTGTCCATAGACCAGGAGGCTGTCATTCAAATAGAAGAAGGGGATACCACATGGTTTAAAATTAGGAAGGCTGTATCCTTTCACCATACTTATTCATCCTGTATGCTGAGCAGATAATCCAAGAAACTGGATTATATGAAGAAAAATGTGTCAGTGAGTTAAAAAGAACACTAAGAGCTTGGTAAGCAACAAAGAAACTTGAAGGGATTGGTTAAGTGACAAGTCTCTAATTTGGGGGGTAACAGGATGCATGGGGTATGTTAAAAATTCTTGTTGTCTGATGAGTTGACTGCAGCTTACTGGATCAGAGATGCTCTAATCGACAAGTTGCTATCAACCAGGTCTTTTTGTGTATCAGATAGTGTCTTCTAAAGTTTATGGAGGAGTCCTTGGGTGACACAAATGGCTAAGTGCTGGACCACCAATGAAAGGGTTGATGGTCTCAACCCACCCCAGGTGCCTCAGAAGATAGGCCGGGTGCCCTGCTTCTGAAAGTCCACAGCCTTGAAGACCCCGGAGCAGACCCTTTCTGCACATGGGTCTGGAATCGAGTTGTTAGTGATCAGTAGCAACAACAAAGTTTGTGGTATTCAACTCATGAAAGCTCTTCTTTAGTCCCAGCACTTAGCATAAATGTGGTGCTGCTTTGGAAAGCAGCCCGGGGATGCCTGAGGTTACCTGGAGCCTGGCCAAACTGTGTCTTGAATGTGAATGTTTCACCCCATGCAACAATCACATGTAAGGAAATGGATGTTTAAAGGCAAAAAAAAAAAAAAAAAAAAAAAATTCAAAGAAGAATGGCAAGAGAAAGGGCAACACTTGCTGACGTGTCCTCAGCAGCAGGAACTTGTATGACTGTGATTCTAAATACAGGTTCTGAAGCAAGGGAGAAGATACGCTCATTGCTGGTATTCAACACAGCCATGGTGTCCTGTTCCCGCTAGTCCTAATTCTACTGTCACTGCCACGTTTGTTCCTGGAGAAACTAATTTTCTGATAGCTGTGCTCCAAATTGTGTAGGAGCATTTGCTGTACAGCAAGGTCATTGCACGTGTCTTTAGTCCCGGGGCATGTGCCCAGCCCACTGCATGGTCCCAGGCCAGATGTCTGTCCCCATGGCCACTAATTCAGTAGCAGTAAACTCAGCACCTGCCTCCAGCTGTAATTCACTTTCCCAAAGTGAGCAGGTAAAGGGGACAGGTCGGGTCTGAATCATGTTTCTATTTTTCCAGACTGACGGCTTTAAGTAAAGAGCAGGACTCACCTGTTGTGACAGGTGAGGTTATGGGTCAACTTGCTTGACCATGATTCTCAGTGGTTTAAGCACATGTGATGTAGTTGTCCCCCATGATGAGATAGAATGTAATCACCTCTGTGATGGGATCAGCTGTGAGCAGCCAATCAGTTGAAAAGGAGTTTCCTCAGGGGTGTGGCCTGTTCCAATATATATATATATATATATATATGGATGTCCTGGGAAAATTCTTGGGCTTTCTGTTGGATCTAGATCCTGCATCTAGATTACTATCTTCCAGGGTTTGGAGCTGAAGCAGTGACCTGCAGTACTGTCCTCTGAGTTTGCCTTCTTCACAGTCAGTGAGCCAACAATCCACCATTTTCCCTGCTGATCTTGGATTCGTCATCTGTCAAAGCCAGCAGCCTGCTGTACTGCCTTCCAGTCTTGGGTTTGTCAGGCCTTGCAGCCACATGAGTCAGGAGAAGCCTGCAGCTTGACGTTTGACCCACACACTTGGGACTTGCAGTCTCTGCAACTGCATATATGTACCATTTCCCTGAGAGAAATTTCTCTCTCTCTCTTTAAGCTTCACTGGTCTTGCTTCTCTAGAGAACCCAGCCTACAACACTTGTAAATACAGGCATGCTCTCTTGCATGTCAGAATGTAAGTGCAGGTGGTGGTTTTCTTCAGTGATTTCAAGGGGAGTTGAGAAAAGTTGTTTTCTTTGTAAGAAGCCTCTCAGTAAAATATGTGAATTAGTGCCATAAGATCTTATACATCTAAGGGTCTTTGCCATATACACAAATGGTTTCTTCGCTTACCCCATATTCTCATAGACAATAGCAACTGGAGTGAAATAAGCTCAGATTGTAGCAGGTTGTCACTCACTTGCATTTTTGCCTTATTGATGCTCAATGTGTTAAACGATTTGAAAGTGTGGTTATAGAAGCAAGCAGGCAATGAATAAAATGAGAATTAACATTACCTACTGGGGGCCTTTGGGAGCTCTGGTGGCATATTGCCTGAGGCATTTGACTGCTAACCAGAAGGCTGGTGGTTCAAACTCACCAGCCACTCCTCGGAAGGAAGACTAGGCAATCTACTTTCATAGAGATACCACCTCGGAAACCCAAGGAGGGCTTGCTATGAGTCAAATTGACTAGATGACAGTGAGGGTTTTTTTTTTTTTTTTTTTACTGTCAGCCTTTGTGTTGTGGTGTTGGTGAAGAATACTGAAAATACCATGGGCGGGCTGCCAGAAGAACTAACAAATCTGTCCTGGAAGAAGTACAGCCAGAATGCTCCTTGGAAGCAGAAATGACCAGACTTCATCTCACCTACTTTGGTCATGCTGTTAGAAGGAACCAGTCCCTGGAGAAGGATGTCATGCTTGGTAAAGGAGAAGGTTAGTGAAAAAGGAGGAGACCCTCAATGAGATGGATTGACACAGTGGCTATAAAAATGGGTTTAAGTGCAGCAAGGATTGTGAGGCTGGCTCAGGACCAGACCGTGTTTCATTGTGTTGTACATAGGGTCACTATGAGTCGGAGCTGACTTGACAGCACCTAACAACAACTGCCAGTTGTCATACTGCAGTGGTTTATATATTCCAGCTTCCAATATCAGCGCGGCCACCCATGGTGAGCAGGTTTCAGCAGAGCTTCCAGACTAACTGACTAGGCAGAAAAGCCAGGTGATGTACTGAACAATAGCCCATGAGAACTCTGTGGCCCACGTCCGAATCTGGCCTGACAGAGTGCTGGAAGGTGAACCCTGAGGTTGGACGGCACTCAGCATACACAGTGACCACAATCAGGACCTGAGCGGACCAGCGACTGGGAAGGTGGCACAGGACTGGGCAGCATTTCATTCTCCTGTACATAGGGGTCTCCATGAGTTGGAGCCAAGTCCACCACAAGCAACAACAACAACTTTCTAGCTGTTCTGTGCCCATGATGAGAGCTGGGGTACTGTACTGAGGGGGGACAGATGTGGTGGTGCCTGCCCCCATGGGGATTTCACTCAGAAGACAGGGACAGTGTGCATGATACATAGCAACGTGGGGGCAGTCTTGATGAGTCAGGTCAAGAGGCTCTGATGATTGAGGGCAGGAGAGCTGGAAGATGGAAGAGCAGATGGAAGGTGTTCCTATACAGCCAACCACCCCAGAGCTAGAGGAGGAGACCCACAGACAGATGGGCATTGGGACAGAAAAGAAAAGATAGACGAGCCTTTAGGGAGGTGTCATCAAAGGAAGTCCAGTTTAGGAAAGGGACCTCTTCTCTGGTTACAGTCACCGTGCAGGTGACTGGCTTCTCAAGGGATGAAAGGCCAGGCCCCAAATGGACATATTTGATTAAAGATAGAGGGAAATGCAGGTGAACATGAGCCCCCAGCAACACAGCTTTGGAAGGCGAGGCTGTGCACCCTGGAAGAGGTGGTGGAAGCTCTCCTGAGACTCTTCTGTCCCCTCGGCTTTTGCAGGTTCGCCGTGAGGACACTGGAGTTGACGGGGGTACAGTAGAGCGCAATGCTGACTTTGAACCTCACGTGAAGGGATGATTTATGAACTGGATTGTGGTCCAAGAGCCCACATCAACTTGGGTCTCCCTCACACTGGCCCTCTGGGCTCCCTGACACTGCACCCGTAGGTTCCCTGACACTCCTCCTGTGGGCCCCCTGAAACTGCCCCTGTGGACTCCCTCCCTCTGCTCCCGGGGGCTCCCTTATCCTGCCCTTGTGGGCTCCTTCACCATGTTCCTGTGGGTTCTCTCAACCTGCCCTCACGGACACCCTCTCCCTGCTCCAGTGGTTCCCTCACCCTGCCCATGTGGGCTCCCTCACACCGCTCACAGCAGGGGTTCTCTCACGCTGCTTCCATAGGCCCCTGACACTAATCCTGAGGGCTCCCTCACCCTGCTCCCGTGGGCTCCCTGTTACTGCTCCTAGGGCCTCCCTCACACTACACCCAGCGGCTCCCAGACGCTGCTCCCAGGGGCTCCCACACGCTGCTCCTTTCTGCAAAGATGCCATGTGATGTCAAAGCCTTCTGATTGCTGTCGAGCCAGCTCAGACTCATGATGGAAGAGGAAACCTCTCTAAGGTTTTCAGGGCTCTGCTCTTTCAGAAGCCAATCTCCAGCCCTGTCTTCCAAGGTGCCTCAGCGTGAGGTCATACCCCCAAGCTTTTTCTTAGTAGTCAACCATATGTTGTACAATGATAACATTATAATAGCATATAATATGTTGTACTCAAGGAGCTCTGGTAGCATAGTGCCTAAGGCACTTGACTGCTAACCAGAAGGCTGGCGGTTCAAACCCACCAGCCACTCCTCAGAAGGAAGGTTGGGCAATCCTACTTCCGTAGTGATACTGCCTCGGAAACCCAAGGAGGAGTCGCTATGAGTCGGGGCTGACTAGACGGCAAATAACAACAACAACAACGTTGTACTCAGTCACTCTCTGGCAGTCAATGTTGTGTGTCAACTTGACTGGCCTGTGGGTTTTTTTTTTTTTATTTTTTGTGGCTGGGCAGCTGGATGTAGTTATTCCCCATAATGAAATTGAAAATCAACTCCATGGTGGAATCTACTGTGAGCAGCTGAGGAGCTAGCTGCCTTTGGGTTGTGGCCTGTTTCCAGTATTCAAGAAGAAGCTTTGAGAAAGATCTCCAGTTTTTGGCACATGCAGATTTTGCATTTGGCCTTGTCTTCATCCCAGTGGCCTGCCATGTGGCCTGCCGATCATGGGATTGCCCCTGGACTTGAACCAGTGGCCTGCCGTGTGCCTGCTGATCTTGGGATTGTGCCACTCTGCTTGCTGACCTTGGGCTCATCAGCCTCGGCAGCCAGCAGCTGTGTGAGTTACTATAAACAGCTCCAGTGGGACTGAAATGAGTCAGAGCTGTAGCCCAAGGTTGAGGGCTCTCACCCAGCCCCCAAAGCCAGCACTCTGAACTCGGACTTCTAGCCTCCTAAACTGCAAGAGGAAACGTTCCTGTTGTTAAGGCCATCTGCTGTGCTACGTCTGTCACAGCAGAGCTGGAGAACTGAAACACACTCCATGTGAAAGCCGCGGATCCCCAAACCACAGAGGTGCTTCAAGGCGACGGTGACACTGTCCTGAGAAGTCATCAGACCCCTTGGAGGCCCTGGTCCTCCTCTGCACATTCAGGTAACCAAGCTCGATGACATTTGTGCTATTGCTCTTAAAATAACTTGCTGTCATTTCTCTGCTCCTTCATGCGTGTGTTATGCTAGCTGAAACGAATGCTATAGACAGAGGAAGAAAGCTGCCAGAATATGTTGTGTTAAGAGAAGATAAAGACAGTTTTCTTCATGGTTGAATTAGCTATAACCTCCAGTATAATCTTGGGGGCAAACATTCGTCCTGTTATCATTGCATGTGATGGTACCTGCAGGTTTGCGAGCATTCTTTCTATTTCCAAGTTACTGTGAGTTTTTGTCACAAGCAGATGTTTTTAAGCATCTATTACATCTACTGAGATGCTTGTAAGATTTTGCTTCATTAATCCACTAATATGGTGAAATACATTGCTTGATTTTTGAAAAATAAACCAATTTTGCATTAATGGGATAAAATCCATACAGTCATGTTTTGTTATCCTTTCAATGTGTTGTTGAATTTCATTGAAGAATTATTTAAAATAAACTTCTTATCTATGTTCATCACATACATTGATCTGTGGTTTTATGATGGGAATATCATCATGATATCCACTGTTTTATTTTAACCCAGTTTTTGTGTCAGAGCAATACAATGCTGTTGTTCTTGTTGTCTGCTGTTGCTGAGTTGTCTCTGACTCATAGCAACCCTGTGTGCCACAGAACAAAACACTGCCCAGTCCTGTGCCAGCCTTACAATCCTTGCTATTATTATTATTTTTTTTAATTGTGACTTGGGTGAAAGTTTACAGATCAAATTCATTTTCCATACAATAGTTCATACACACTTTCTGTCATGACATTGAATGTAGTCCCCACAATGTAACAGCTCTCAAACCTTCTCTGTGCCCCTCTTTCCTATGCATTCCTGCCCCCTGAGCTATCTCCCTGTGAAAATATTGCCTTTCTGCCCTCCCATGGTTGATTGTTCTAAGGAGTGTACCTACCTGGTATAAATGTTCACCATATATGAGGGTCTGTTGTTTGGCTGTAACCCA